TTTAATATTAAAAACAATCTTCAAGAACAGGTCCAGGAAGCCAGTAACAATCAACTTGTCAGTTTTTAAATCAAAATCTGTTGGGAAATTTCAAAGTTTCACAGACTTGAACATGAAAACACTTAAAATAATCCATGGCATGCAGAAGTGCTCTGAGTGAATAGTGGTTCACCAGACAGGAATCTTTTGACAGGTTTTTAATCCTTCTAGTGGCAGTAACTGGGCTAGGTCAATTAACAAGCTTCCCCTTAAAACTGGGTGTATTGTTTACTTTAGTAGGCTCTGTGGCTACCTCTTAGCCACAAAACTCATGAAGTGATGGAAGGAAACAGAACATGCAGAAAAATGGTTGGATTAGTGCCACCATTACAATCTGTGTGGGCTGGTACAGATTTAGATATAAGGTGAAAATTGTATCAGATTCTAAAGAAGACAATAAGAGAGCAATCATCAAGTTTGATCAGGGGGCCATTTACCTTCACATGCCTTCCTGAGTATGGTAAACATTTACGATTTATGCACTAGAAATCTTTTCTTCTCCCTGAATCCATTTCAACCATAGCTTAAGCTGAGTTGAAAGCAGCTACAGTGGGGTCTTGACTTGAGAACTTAATCCGTATTGGAAGGCAGTTCTCAAGTCAAAAAGTCTGTAAATCAAGTCTCCATTGACATACAGCGCATTGAAAACCGATTAATCCCATAACAGGCCGTTTTTGTTCCATTTTGGTTTTTTAAGCTGAGTTGAAAGCAGCTAAACACAGTATCAATTGCTTTTGCCCCTCTATTTTAAAAGTAACAAACTGTAATGTCAATAAGCAATAGCTTTAGGTGTCTGCTCAACTAAAGTCTGCCTTGGAAGCTTGAAGTCTACGTGGGTAATGACCCAACCCTAACCCTAACCATGGAACAGCTACTTTCTACTTTCCTGGATGGCCTTCGAGCATAACCCAGATGTGAGCAACCTGTGCCCTTCCAGAAATGATTGGATTACAACTCCCATCACCTTGACCCAACATAGACAATAGTTTAGGGGTTATGATGTAGGGTTTCAGACTTTGGTCTTCTTGAGGCTTAGGTTCTGAATCTGAAATTGCATGCTTTGAATCTGATGTCTCCGGAAATGGAATACTTCCCAAGTGGCAAGTCAGGTTTTGGGGATTTTTTCCCCCCTCATGGCTTCAGCTACGTTCAGGAGAATACCCCTCCCTGCCTTTTTCATCACCTTGGACTAAAGCTACTGCTCTTGAAACTGACATGCAGCAGAGTGTCTCTAAAATGGCAGACACACACCATTTCACAGTTGTTGCAGCAAGGCCAACCACTGTGACATCGCAAAGGCCCACCTTCCCTGCACCACCACCAGTACCTCACCTTAGGGTTTTAGACTTTGGCCTTAAACAATGGGATGTTGCTGAATGTATTCTTGAAGGCTTTCACGGCCGGGATCTGATGGTTGTTATGGTTTTTCCGGGCTCTTTGGCCATGTTCTGAAGGTTGTTCTTCCTGACATTTCGCCAGTCTCTGTGGCCGGCATCTTCAGAGGACTGGAGTAGGAACTCTGTCCATGCTCTGTTGCTGTTTGTTGGATAGTTGAGTATTTATAACTGTGGGAACAGCTTTTGTCCTTTTCAGGAGATAGGGTGATCAGTGTGTTTTTGTTGTGGGTGTATTGTTGTGATAATTGGGAGAGATTATCTATCACTGTGATGGATGGGTGTCTTTAGCTGGTCTCTTTTGTGCAATGATCCCTGGTCCTTTTGGTGGGTAGAGTTTATTGACCTTCTGCAGGCTGTATTTTCCAGTGCTGGAAACCAGGCCATGTTCATTTTCAGACTTTCCTCTTTTTTTTTTTGAAGCTATGCTGATGTTTATGGATTTCAATGGCTTCCCTGTGCACTCTAACATAATGATTGCTGGTGGTTGTCCAGTATTTCAGTGTTTTGGAAGAGAATTTCATGTCCAGCTTGTTTTAGGGCATGTTCAGCTACTGCTGATTTTTCTGATTGTTTTAGTCTGCAGTGTCTCTCGTGTTCTTTGATTCTGGTGTGGATGCTTCATTTTGTGGTTTCAATATATACCTGTCTACAACTGCAGGGTACCCAGTATACTCCTGCAATGATAAGGATGCTGCTGACTTGGTAATCTTGACTGATGAAAATTTCAGTGCAAGGACATCTATGCCCACCTTAACATAGACAGAAGTCTGGTGTTCCTTTTACTTCTCAAGTGAAACCGTGAGCAAAATGTTAATTTTAGAACTACACTTTGGTGGAGCCTTGAGGGTCACCTGCTTTGAAGGTATAGGATATTACAGGAATCTACCTTTTTACAAGACTAGATTGTTGAACATTAAATTCTTTCAGTCTCCCACAGATGTATTTCTTACCCTTTGCTGCCTGAAATCTTTTACTGATGAGAAATCCTTGTGGACTCTTGCTTTCTTAAAATATAACACTAACTGTATTTCCGTCCTCTGTATTTGGGGACAAATGAATCCCAACACAATCATAAACCACTTGAGGGGTTATGCTATTAAGAAATTCTAGATTCCATGTGAAAGAAGAATGCTTTGAACAGGCTGAGTGTCTTGGCGGAAACCTGTTTAAAGGCTTATGTGTCTTTCTAAGAGTGTCAGAGCTTTAAGAAACCTCATCAGTAACCCCCCCTCAAGCTGTCAGACAAACTTCCACCGTCATCTGGATGACTTATCGCTTCTTGGAATAATAATTGTGTAGAAATGGAAAAACTGGGTGACAAAAAAACTAAGTTATAGGAAGCCAATGAATTTTACTTACTACAGGAGAGTCTAGTAACTAGCATTGTAGGTTACACAATCCAAAATGTCATTATGTTAGCAACGTTTATTTAACTAGGGCCAGGATGATGTAGTTCATTCTACTCATTCTAGGCTCCACTCACCCCATTCTGCTGTGGAGTAATATCTTGTTTACACGTGCATTACTTCACAACAGGATGAATTACTTTAAAAATCTTCTCAGGTAAGCTGAGCCACAAGTGCTTTAAATACATTAAAACCAACACATAGTTTTCCTCCACCAGAAGCATTGGGTACAATTGTAAGGAAAGTGCATTAGCTACATACCCTGTGTTCAAATCAAAACTGAAAACAGAAGCAGGATTTTAAGGTTTATGACGTGATGTGTGTGTTGTTGTTTTTTTTGGAAAATCCTCATACGCAAGAGGAAAGATGATACTTACGTCAGCCTTTCTGGCACAGATGGATAGGCCACATTATGAGCAATTTCACCACTGGGCCTCTGGCCAAAAGCAATGAAAGGTAAGCAGATTACGATTCTCCCTGTTGGTTCCCCCCAGCTCCACGGAAGCTTTGGTATGCTCGCCTTTTTGACCTGAACAACATGTTTGTCGTTTTGCTAAGCCAAGAGGTGTATCCTCCCAATGTATCCAGAGGCAGGCCAGCCATTTCCTTGCTCAAAAATGGAGCTATGCCCATAAAAGATGATCATGCGTGCTCACAGTTCCTTCATGTAATGCAACATTCTCATCCCTTGCATATCTAATAATATAATCCTAATTTAATTCGTTATTTCCCTTGGGGGTGATGTGACTATTATGGCAAAAATTGACTTTATAGAGGAAATACCACTGGAAGAGGAAAATCTTCAAACGCTGTTTGTCAGTGTCATGGCAAAGGCTTGTCTCACTTCCCATAGTGTGCAAAACAGTGTGCAAATTCAACATCTAACTTGCTTTGTTTTGTGATTGGTCTTCAGGACTTTAAGCAGGGGATTCCTTTAACATCTAACTTCTCAAACACAAAACTTTGGCAAAGTTACCTGCAAATACTTACAATGCTACTGTCTAAAACAGGTGCCTCCTACTACCACAAATAATTGCAAGAAAATTCTAATTTGTTATTAGAGTCAAACAGTCTGTTTCCTACAGTGTTTTGTAAGAAGCAGCTGCATGCTGTTGGATATGAACTGGGATAACAATTTCATTGCAAAATTACACTTAACAGGTTTTTTTCAGCTTATCCTATGTGCTGTTTAAGCAAATGGCAATTCAAACTATTCATACCACATCTCAGGGAAACAAACAATAGGAAAAAGGAGCTTAAAACCAACAAGACAGACATGAATCATGCTGCTTCAAGATAGATGTGTGTGTAAAAAGCATTTCTGTGTCCTACTACATGTGACTAAAACAGTGTCTTACATTATTTTATGCTATGCAGAAGCCCTATGCATGAGGGTAGGTCTAGGAAGAAAGCCACACTGGTGGGCACATACTGCATTTGTAGAGGTTAGCAGGCATTCATGCACACTTTAAAGGAGATGTTGGGCTAACCAGGACCAGGTAGTTTTAGATTTGGTCCACATCTTTGGTACCCAGATGTTATTCATGGTCCCTGCCGTCTCAGACACTGCTTTAGGAAGGAGATTTTGGGCTAGGAGTGGAGAACAATTGGTTCTCTAAATGTTTTGGACTTCAACTCCCCAAAGCACCAGCTAGCATAGCCAAGAGAAACCAAATGGAGAAATGGTTTTCCAAAGTATCCACAGGGCCAAAAGTTCCCCACCTCAGAGAATACAGAGGAAGTATGAGATCTTTGAAATGAGCTGCAGAAACAATCAGAACAATGGAAACCTTCTTACTACTTGAAAATCTCTCACAATTCCAGCTCAAGAACAAATATGAGACCCCAATTTTCTTCCCAAAAGCTGGACACAAGACCTGACCCTTTTCCCGTCTGCTTCAGCTGAAAATCATGGACAGAATGTTGTTGCTTCCTTTCCTGAAGCTTAGTTGCAAGAAATCCCACTCTACCTATCTCTCAGTTGGTGCTGGGTCATATACACAGATGTGGTCCACCAGTGACCACCTTTGCAGATTGTTGCATGGGAAGCATGCGGGTAAATTTTCCCCCCCAGGTCCTGAATCTTATGTAAAATTATACTCTTTCATTCTTATTTGCTTTTCCTGAATTTTTTTAAAAAGCACACTAGAACCATTTCTTGGCCAGCAACATTTGACAATTTATTTCTTTGGTTTAAAGCACCCATAACAGTATTATGTTGTTGGACGTGTGTTTACGAATCAGATTCATGCCCGTTCAAAGGATTCCCCCCAAGAGAACTGAGAATCCCCTGTGAGGTTCTTCTGTGTTAAGTTCTGCGTGAAAGCTATTTTTCTCCCCAACACAAAGTGAATCTTCTCAGTGGCTCCAAAACATTCCCAGAAGCTTCTAAAAGCAACAGTGACACCTAGACTGCACATATGTGTGTGACAACAGCTCAGACAGGACAACGGGCTACTACATCGGTCAACAACTGTTTAATCTTCTCCTCCACAAATTGCTAGCAGTGCTTTGCAGTAATCTCCGGAGGTATCCTTCTGGGAAGAAGAAAACAAAAGTCACAAGATCAAAACATCAAGCTGTCAGACTGAATGCACCACTCAAGGATAAAAGAAACATTTCGCTAAGCTCTTAACATGCACTGGGTGTGTGTGTGTCTGAATCCCCTGGGTGGGGAGTCTGTCCCTGATCAAAAACAACTGTAATACTTCTCAATTATTGTCAATGGTGGCCAGTGATGTGAGGTGAGAGTCCAGCAACAATTGGAGGACAAGAGGTTCTTGACCTCCAGGGGACTGTGGGAACTGTAGTTCTCTAACAGTCTTACACCTGTCACTAGAACTCTTTGGGGAAAGCTCTCAATGCTGAAACGAGCATGTAGCTATACAGCAGAGGTGTGAGGTGTTGTGTTTTTGGACTACAACTACCAGAATTCCTGGCTGCAGTCCAAAAACACAAATCAAAACACCTCTACTACTGTATATACATATGCAATGGAGATACACCTTTCTTTTGCCAGCAGGCAACTCTATGATCATACTTTTTACAGAGGCTGTGTAAAAATAAGACTGCTTTGCCAGTTACACAGCTCAGTATGGATAACGAGAGTGCATACTTCAAAATTATTCAACCTGAGCAGGCAGACTAGGAAATGGCTAGTCCGACCAGCTCTCTGATTACTGCACTTCTAGTAGAACACATACACATTTCAGATATTACAATAGGCACTTGATCTTTACAGGAAGATAATTAGGGGATTTCCAAAGAGGAAATCCTAATGTCTGGTGCATGCTATGACTCAAAGCTTAGAAAAGTTACTTTTTTGTGGCCATGACTCCCAGAATCCCCCAACCAGCATGATCAGTGGACACTGCAGTCTCAAATTAACTTTCCAGAGCTCTGCTACAATTACACCTTTCAGTATATGCAGGAAGTCTGTATTTGTCTGGATTGAACACCTGCCTCACTGCCAGGAGCACAATTCCTGCCAATAAGGAGGCAAGTTCTAAAAAGGGAAGCAGAGTTCCCTACTTGGACATAGGCAAGGTTTTGCTCATGAAAGGTTGAACCAGTGGTTACCTCAATCATGTGGTAGAGAGATTTTTCGTATATCTCCCAAAATTCGTGCCGGATGTTGAGCAGATCAATCTCACTCCTTGAAACCATGATCCTGATGAGAGTTCGGTCATCTGTACCAACACCCTTGCGAGATTGAAAAAAAAAACAGTCAGAGAAATAGAGAGAAAGAGGCAGAGGCAGGAAGTGGTGGGATTTCCCCTCACATTCTGTTTGCAAAATATTTTGAAGAGGTGGTAACAAGTAAAGCCACTCGGAGACAGGTTACTTTTGTCTACAACCACCAAAATGGGCAGGGAACTGAATGACAGCTTCAGATCCTGTTTTGTTCAATTGACACCAGCACTGAAATGTACATTCAGTGCAGAGCTGGGGCTCCTTTCCTACTGCGAGTGCCTTCATTTTGTGGCTCCTTGCCCTCTTGTCCTTGATTCCTATGCCTGTGATGGGAAAAACATACCACGTCTGGCAGCTGAGTGCCATATCTCCCATTGCTAAGTCTATCTCCTTGACCGCTTTATCGAAGTGACACAGCGCTGTTTGAGCTGGCTGGATCATGCAGGGATCTCTCTGTTGTTAGGGAGGTCGCCTCAGGGGGACAATCATAAGTGGTGCCAAACCACTTCTGGCCCTCTCAAAAGCAAGCTAGCAAGTAGGCTGCCCTTCCCACTTTTTTCCCTATAAAAGTTACTAATTTTTCTTAAGCAAAGATAGAGTCATATATAAATGCATATTACCTTCATAGAGTTGTACAGCTTGTTTGCAAAGAAAGCTTGCTTGTTCTTGACACTCATCACTTAAAAAAAAGGGGGGGAACAAGAAAGAGCACAACATGAAAGTATTGCCAGGGAGGGGCCAAGAACTGGCTCTGTACAAAATTTTCTCCTTTGGCAATCCCTCCCCAAACATTTCAAAGAGACAACAGACAATTCAGGTTATATTATAGCTTGTCTGTATAAACATATATTCCCTTCATGGAGTGCAACTACAGTCCAGACACATTTATGCCAAATATTTGCTGTTAAAGAGTCACGCGGCACCTTTAATTTGTTATGGCTTTAATTTTTCAGGACTATGGTCTACTTCAATGTTTTCTGAATTAACAGGCATATATACACAAGCACCAGATTCTGTATGTGATGGACTGAAAACATCCAGGTCAGAAGGAAAGGAAATGCAGCAAAGACAGTGGTGGTGTTATTACTACTAAAGGCTATTAAATAGTGATAACACAGGCCTCGTGGTGTTGGTAATTAAAACCTGCAGTGTGACTGAAAAACACTTTTATTCATGGCACTGCCATGTTTTGCACTCTGGGACCATCCTTGCTGGATGAAGTCTGCAAGAGGAAGATGATATATGAATTATCTTCTTGTTTCACCCCCACTAAGAAGTTAACAAAAAATCAAAACCATTGTTCTATTGATTGCCATAGAAGGAAGGAAACCTATATGGATGATTGGGCAGCCACTTCCTCACTGGAAAGTATTCAGGAAAGTTGCAAAATGTTCCAGTTGTGTACCAGAGAACAGTGTGTTGAGCAGGTGTAGCTTCTCTCACAACTGTCATCTGCCTGTCCAGTATGGTCTGAACTGAACCAGAGAAGGTAAGAAAGTGGACAAGTAGGATCACTGCTGGGCAACAGAATGAACAGAGACGCAACAATAATGGAAAGTTGGTTTAAAGCCAAATTTGGTAATTCTATTAATCGAGGCGGCTGCTTCCTGTTGGCCTTGGTGAACATTCTCCATAGTAGCCTACTGAGGAGAAACGGTAGGAAGCAGACTACTGAAGAAGTCAACCTATTAGGGCTGATGAGGAAGACACGAGAGAATGTTTCTGGATTTGCAATCTAAACATCCAAAAACAAATTGCAAAACTAAGATGAAGTTCTTGAAGCAACCCATGATGTGAATGTGATTCTGTGCATAACCAGCAGCAGAATTTTAGTCTTAAAGATCTGAAACGTTCACACCACTGCCATGCCAGGTAGCATGGAAAACACTTACCATCCATGGCACCTGACACAGATGTGGGATGCCTGGAATTCCAAGCTCTACTTGACAAGAAAGCAGTCTCCCCCCCCACACACACACACACTCATGCAGAAAAGACAGAAAATAAGTTAGCAGATTTAATGGGAACTTTATCTTGATTAATGACCCTAAGTTACTGTTCCCAGTGGTTTGAATGAATGTTGCCTAGCTTCCCTTTCCCGGCTGCCACAAACTATGTTCCCAAGATATTCAGCTTCATGTGTGACTCCTGTGCTACAAAATAGTTAAATACTCTGAAATATCATACTCCACTTGTGAGTTGCTGTGTTTTTTTTTTGGGGGGGGGAGGGCCAATGAAGTAAAAAAAAAAAAAGATACTTAGGCCAGGTTGCATTATCTGTGCAAATTATGCAAAAGCATTTGACTGTTGTGAAGATTATGTTCAGTGTGACAAAGCTTAGCAGATAGGACCCACAATCTATAGGGAAGGTATTCATAAGCCTTGTGCTATACTCATGCAAGAAACACTCACCAATGGCTAAGAAGGCATCCCGCTCATCTCCAGACATCCGCTTCTTGATGGCATGTGCCACGTCATGGTTGGTCATCTTAATGAACTCCTGGAACACTGCAAAGATAAAGGGCAAAGCGTAAGAATCAGAAACAATGTGCTTGGCAGAACAGATCGAAAAGGTATGTTGGAGTGCAAGACACCCCCTCCACTAAGCCTCAGGGCAGGCAACAATAACAGGGCCACAAGTTTCTTCAGAATGTTTACGTTTCTGAGCAAAAGTGAATCTAACAAAAGGAAGCTCTTGTCCCCTGGGTTCCAACTGCCAGACAAGCAGGTTTTCTTGAGTTGAGGGAGAGTTTCTATTTTCTTGTAATTAGCTGGTTGCATCAATAATCCCCTCCTTTTCTTCAAGGTCCATACAGAGTGTGTGTGTGTGTGTATGTGTTACACCAGCCTCCCCGCCTCCGAAGAGCAGTAACAAAAGCCTTGAAAGGTCATGTTAGTTAGCTTATCTTGGCCATGAGCTCACACAGACTCCCTGAACTTTCTTTACCTCTCCTGAGTTGAGGGTAGCTCTGTGTGCACAAGATGCTCAGGAAGCGTGTCTCGAGGGATGTAGAGTCATCGCTGGAAACATCAGCCAATTTCTGAAAAAACAAGAAAGAACCAAGGGGTGGGAGGGACGAACAGCAAAGAAAGGAGGTACAAAACACTTCGTTTAACTTACTGAATCTGCATACTAGTACAATTCTACACGATGATCAGCATATTGCCTGTGTATTTCTACCTGAGGTATAACGTGGTCCATCCAAATCTACCTAGTTTAAAGGAAACTGTACACTGTCTCATTAACAGAGCATTAGGGGATCAAACAGCATATTACTTTAAGATACATGTAGCAGCTAACACCTTTTCTTCTTCCGTATTCTGCACACAGGAGACTCAGTCCAAACTTAGCACTGAGCTAAGGGAGCCTTTAAGGGACGTGGTGGCGCTGTGGGCTAAACCGCAGAAGCCTGTGCTGCAGGGTCAGCAGACCAGCAGTTGTAAGATCGAATCCATGCGACGGAGTGAGCGCCCGTCGCTTGTCCCAGCTCCCACCAACCTAGCAGTTCGAAAGCATGCAAATGCAAGTAGATAAATAGGGGCCACTTTGGTGGGAAGGTAAAACTGTGTTCCCTAGTCACGCTGGCCACGTGACAACGGAAACTGTCTTCAGACAAGCGCTGGCTCTACGGCTTGAAAAACGGGATGAGCACCGCCTCCTAGAGTCGGATACGACTGGACTAAAAATGTCACAGGGAACCTTTACCTTTACCTAAGAGAGCCTTTAATCCATAGTTCCCTGTTGTGACCCTTATCCAGATCAGGGGCACCTCACTTGCAATTTACATTGCCAAACAGCGACCTGTTGAAACAAATTACTATAGTAACATGTAATTTGGACCAGAGAGCCTGAGAGTAATTCAGGTAAGCTTTTGTACCCACTTTAAAAAGTCTGTTTATTTAATTATTTTATTTAAAATATTTTTACCCTGCCTTTCTCCTTGTGTTGCCAACCTATGGTTTTTCTATCCCAATGACTAATGGGAATATTGTTTATCTTATATTCTGCCAACAGGTTTAATCACTGGCAGATGTTCCAGTGGGTTACGGCACATGAAGATGACTGTTTTAGCAGGAATTCTACCTGGAGCACTCAGTCACTCTAACACTACCTCTCCATCTTCAACTGACTACTCAATTGGCCTTTCCACCTGGTCCAAAACACAGAGGTCACCTCTTGTCCATCCAATTCTACCAATTCTTGGTAGGTTACAATAAAAAGGTAAAGGTTCTCCTTGACAATTTATCCAGTTGTGTCTGACTCTAGGGGGCGGTGCTCATTTCTGTTTCCATCCCATAGAGCTAGTGTTTGTCTGAAGACAATCTTCCATGGTCACGTGGCCAGCGTGACTAGACATGGAACGCCGTTACCTACCCACCATGGTGGTACCTATTTATCTACTTGCATTTGCATGCTTTCGATCTGCTAGGTTGGCGGGAGCTGGGACTAGTGACGGGAGCTCACTCCATCGCGTGGATTCGATCTTACGACTGTAGGTATTCTGACCTTGCAGCACAGAGGCTTCTGTGGTTTAACATGCAGTGCCGCCACGTCCTGAGGGTAGAATACAAAGCAACAATGCAAATGAACAAAGTTTGGCAAAATGGTGAAACAAAATGATCAATTAAAAGGGGAAGGGACTGTGTCCCGATAGCAACTATTTAGTTCTCTTATACTGTGAGAAATCAATGGCACATCTGGGAGAACTAGGTCAGGATATCTTTCAGATCAGTAGACATATCCCCAATAAATTTAGTAGTCTTCACTGTCTTACAGACTTTGCTCCTCCCCAAACAACTTAAGTCAATTCATCCATTTGAATAGTGTGACTGCACTAGCTATTTACCCAGTACTGGATTTGGCACAGATAAAATTGAAGTGCAAAATGGCAACTACATGGAAAGCTCAAGGTGGAGAAATCTTTTCACTGGGAAAGTGTCTCTTTATGTTCAGCCCGCGGGGCGTAGTTTGCTCTGCTTCATGTGGGAACACTTTTCTCTGCTTTCTGACATGCATGACTGCTTGATCCTATGCAAAAGAGTGGTTGTAAGGGGTCAGTGGGTGTACTATTACACTGGCTCCCCTCAACTGAGTGCTTGTTGTTTCCCATTCTCCAGCCAATTTTTCAAAATTTTAAAAAAATATGCTTGTCAAAAGTAGCACTAAACCGCATGAGCATTATGTCATTTTAAAAGGGGGGAAATATAAAAATTAAACTTCTACGCAAATCCCACAGAATTAGTACTAAAATCCCAATTTACCCTTGGTCCTTCCTCAGAGTAGACAATGCTATATATGATGGTTTCATGTTTCAATCTGACTACCTCTCTCAAGGCAATTTGCCCCCAAAATAGGAAATGGGTGCCTATGGGGAAAGGCCCTTATATCTAGATGACAGGGCTACAGTGAAATTGTAGAGGTGAAATTTTGAGAAGACCGCATTGAATGCTGGAGAATGCAGAATCCTGAGAACACAACATGGTGTTCCTCTAGATCAATCTTATCCTTAGATGAGAGAACTGTCAAAGGACAAAAAGGGCAGGCACTCACCAGGGTTTCAGCAACAACCTAACAACAGAGAGAAAGAGAGAGGGAGGGAGAGAGGAAGGCAACAGGGTCAGAGTTGGTACTGTACAAGCCTTTCCTGGTGTTTGACAGATAAAATGGAGTCAGTCCCATGATGTAGGCACTATTATAGACTACTGAATAATGGAAGCAGAGGAAGATTTTATTTCTCATTTCACCTTCAGAGACTCAGTCTATATCCTTCAAAGGATGTTAAGTATTTCCAATTAAATGGCTTTTTTTAAAAAAAAACACTTTAATTTGGGAACAATCTGTTCATAACAAATAGATGTACATCTGAGTGTGTGTAGCTTTAAAAGCAGCAGGGAAAAGAAGAAGCCAGAGCTTGTTTAGTACAGGAATTAAAATTAATTTATTATTAATCATGTTAATGGCTATTATATAATTAATTTGTTGCATTAGCAGTTAGCAATGCATTTGTGGGTTGTTACTCTTAAATAAAGAAGATATAAAATGGATAAAAATGGCCTCCACAATTTAATCCCCCAAATAATGAATTAAAATTGAGTAAAAATATTTAGCATCATTCACACAGCTAGCACCGGTGATGTTAAATAACTAAAACGTGAAGTTTTAAAATGGTTGTCAAAAGTTATAACAGACAATGAGTTACCGATTTTACTAAATTAGTTACTAAAATGAAATAATGTCAAGCTCTGAAAGCAACTGTGTAGAGCAACATCCGCTTGGGACAGAGACTTGATGTGCGCATTACATTTGCTTATCACAGGCATCCATGTGAAGGTGTCTGGCCCAAGGCGTTCCAAGTACAGTGGTGCCTCACTAGACAGTTACCCCGCATGACAGGGTTTTTTTTGCTAGACATTGGCTTTTTGCAATCGCAATAGTGATTCGCAAAACAGTGATTCCTATGGGGGAATTTTGCTCAACAATGTTTCGTCCCTGCTTCGCAAACCGATTTTCGCTAGACTACGATTCTGACAGCTCCCTCCACGCTTCTATGTTAAATAACTAAAATGTGAAGTTTTAAAATGGTTGTCAAAAGTTATAACAGACAATGAGTTACCGATTTTACTAAATTAGTTACTAAAATGAAATAATGTCAAGCTCTGAAAGCAACTGTGTAAAGCAACATCCGCTTGGGACAGACACTTGATGTGCGCATTACATTTGCTTATCACAGGCATCCATGTGAAGGTGTCTGGCCCAAGGCGTTCCAAGTACAGTGGTGCCTCACTAGACAGTTACCCCGCATGACAGGGTTTTTTTTGCTAGACATTGGCTTTTTGCAATCGCAATAGTGATTCGCAAAACAGTGATTCCTATGGGGGAATTTTGCTCAACAATGTTTCGTCCCTGCTTCGCAAACCGATTTTCGCTAGACTACGATTCTGACAGCTCCCTCCACGCTCGCAAACAGGTGTTTTCGGGACCTAAGCTTCGTAAGACAGCGATTTAAACAGCTGATCGGCGGGGTTTGCAAAGCGGCTTTCCTATGGCCGATCTTCGCTAGACAACGATGGTTCTTTCCCATTGGAACATGTTTCAATGCATTCCAATGGGGAACGCTTGGGACAGAGACTTGATGTGCGCATTACATTTGCTTATCACAGGCATCCATGTGAAGGTCTCTGGCCCAAGGTGTTCTGAGTATAAGGAACAGAGATGAAATGAGCTTAGCCCATGAAGTGTGTGAAAAGAAAAGGAAGAATAAGCATGTAAATTGAGATCAGCAGCAAGATGATGCAGGTTGTTGTGTGAAGCAAAAAACTTGAGGGGCAATGAGTGCAAAAAAAGTGATGTAAGGAAGTACTTCCTGTGGCCAGCCTCAAAATCCAGAGATGAGATGAGCTTAGCCCATGAAGTGTGGGAAAAGAAAAGGAAGAATAAGCATGTAAACTGAGATCAGCAGCAAAAATCTAAGTCAAACCATGGCAGAAGATGATGCAGGTTTTTGTGTGAAGCAAAAAAGTTGAGGGGTAATGACTGCAGAAAAAGTGATGTAAGAAGTACTTCCTGTGGCCAGCCTCAAAATCCTGGATATGCCATCTCTGCTAGAATGCAATGCTGTGTAGTTATGGAGGAGTCTCTCTAGCAATACCATATAGATGTATTTTGAAAATTCAGCTGAAGAAAAGGGGAAAGTTAGGCTCTGCTATGAACTGCCTATAAATATAGTATTTTAATCACCAGCCTCCATCTCTCTCTCTTTCTCCTGCCTAAGCAGATGCAACAGTAATTAAGAAAAACATGCACAAACATGCATTCCCTCACAAGAAAACAAGGCTAGCTGCACCTCTCTGCTTCACTCAGAGTACAGCTAGAGGCATACAAATAAATCCATCCCCTCTAGCTTGATTTAATCCGTTTGTATTATTATTATGGCTATCCCTTACAGGGAAGGCTATATATATTTAATATGGGTTGCCTAATCAGTTTGTATTCTTATTATGGCTATCCCTTACAGGGAAGGCTTTTTAGCTCTGTTCAGTTTTCATTAACTAAGATGGCTCAGTTTTGAGCCATCTGAGTTAATGAGGCTGGTTTAAGCCAACACACTGAGAAACACAAACTGTGTGATGAGAGAGTAGCAAGGGAGCATAATGTATGGTTAAAAACATGAGCTACAGCAGCCAGTGCAGGATTGGCCAGTCTTATCAAGAGGAAAAAAACATACAGACAACATTGGCCATGAAATTCCTTCAGAGCTGTATTCCGAACCCCCTTCCCCCAAATTCAAGAAGCAGCCACCAGGAATGGCAAGGATCGTTACTTGAAGAAATCAGGAAGGGAAGTAAGCAGCATTAATGGTTTGTTTTTAGAGCATTTCTTCACACTTCACTGCAGCGCTCCTTACATGACGGCCAAGACAAATGAGCCAACTTTCTCAGCCACAGACTGATGGGGTTTCCCCCCCTTTGCTTACGGGTGGCAAAAATGGTGCCTCAGTCAGTTTGACCTGTAACTTTGCATCAAGCTAGAGCAGGGGTTGGCAAGCTGATTTTAATGGCTTTCATGCATAGTTCGTTTTATTTGATTGTAATTATTATATGGCTAAAAAAAATTTAAAACAAGATTGAAAATCATCTTGAGCACTACTTTTATAGTGGAAACTTGGGATGAAAACGTAATCAATCATCATTATCATCCAACATTAGCTCTAGATTAGGGCGTGACAAGCTGGTGCCCTCCAGATGCTTTAAACTACAACTCTCATAGTTCCTGACTCTTCCTGTGGCATTTTATGGGAATTATAGTCTTTCCCACAGTCGTTTGTGGCCTGACCCTGTGCACTCCATACAAAAGATTCCAAAGTCAATCTTGGGAATCTCTACCTGGGGCAGTAAAACTCTGGTCTGATACTCTAAAAAACCATTGCCAAGTAATGCATATAAGCAAACCAATGTGTCGCAACAAAGGATTAAGTCCAATCTTGCCTCTGATGTGTTCTCCCTGTCTGTACTAGTGGTGGATTTTCATGGCAGAACATAAAGATGTAGCCTCCAGCCCTGGAAAAGAGCTGCCAATTAATTTGGGTGTAACACTGAATGGTGGGGTTTGTTACATAAATGAGCCTTTGCAGACATGACACTGGAAACTCATACTACTTCTTTTTAACCAACTATTATAGCTCAGTGTACAAACCTGAGAAAACTGAAGATAGCCTTGTTGTAACAAGCCAACATGAAGATTCCAATTATGATAGTGGCTTGTTTCAATAAACTATAGTTAGGATTAACCATCATTTAGGATTCAGCTACAATGTTGAACAGTGATTATTAAAAAATAGAGGCAAAAACTTCCAGTTTCTTTCTGAACACAACAGGGGTGGGTTGGACTGGGCTGGGCAGACATGAGCCATAGATTACAATTACATTCAAATAGAGTCATTACTATATATACTTGATTTTAACAGCAAGCATAAACACAGAATCAACGTATAACAGATGGAGGGCTTCACCCATAGATTTCTAAAATATTCTAAGAAAAGTGTCAAATAAAGCAGAGTAACTGCAAGAAAAAAACAACAACCCTTCTGTTGGATCAGCCAAGCAGGTTCAGGTGGTTTTCCCAAAAAGCAAGATGTGTGGCTATGCCAGGCACAGACCTTAGAAAGCTCAGACTTTCACCAGAAACCATCCTCAATGATCTTTGATAAGGAATAAGGATAGAATAGCCAAAAGCTGTTATTTTATGGTCTGAACACAACAGGGGTGGGTTGGACTGGGCTGGGCAGACATGAGCCATAAATTAGAATTACATTCAAACAAAGTCATTACTATATACAGTGGGGTCTCGACTTACGAACTTAATCTGTATTAGAAGGCAGTTCTCAGGTGATTACAATTACATTCAAATAGAGTCATTACTATATATACTTGATTTTAACAGCAAGCATAAACACAGAATCAACGTATAACAGATGGAGGGCTTCACCCATAGATTTCTAAAATATTCTAAGTCGAGTCCATATATTCCTATGAGAGCAGTTCGTAAGTCGAAACATTCGTATGTCGAGCCGTTCGTAAGTTGAGACCCCACTGTATACTTGATTTTAACAGCAAGCATAAATACAGAATCAATGTATAACAGATGGAGGACTTCACCCATAGATTTCTAAAATATTCTAAGAAAAGTATCAAATAAAGCAGAGTAACTGCAAGAAAAAAACAACAACCCTTCTGTTGGATCAGCCAAGCAGGTTCAGGTGGTTTCCCCAAAAAAGCAAGATGTGTGGCTATGCCAGGCACAGACCTTAGAAAGCTCAGACTTTCACCAGAAACCATCCTCAATGATCTTTGATAAGGAATAAGGATAGAATAGCCAAAAGCTGTTATTTTATGGAAAGTTTATAGTGTGGAAGACAGGAGGGCCCAGCATGCTCTGGTCCATGGGGTCAGGAAGAGTCGGACACGACTAAATGACTAAACAACAACAACAAAGTTTATAGTATCAGCTCTGTTCCCAGAGATAATCTGCCCACAAGTACTTAAGGCACAGAATTACTACTGCATCGGGCACTTGGCAGGTGGCTGCAGCTCAGGTCAGAACACCCATTACCCACAGGATTAATAACAGGGAAGCTTCTCACTGACCATTCAGACAGGCTGGAAGGATCAGAAAGGGCAATGCAGCTGCTATCGCACTACAGAAAACTAAACTCTTAAAACAGAAACAATCCCTTTATCACAATCTGAATGTTGCAAAGACACCCCCTCCCATATAATACAGCCAATGGTGTCTGAGATATTTGGGGGAAAGCCTTCTCTCAGTCCTGCTGCCATCCCAGGAATGTTTAGTGAGGACTTGAAAGAGGGTATTTTTGGTGGCTGCTCTCAGTCTATGGAATTCTCTGTCTCGTGAGGCTAGTTGGCTCCCTCCTTACAGTTCATTCACTGGGAGGTGGAAACCTTGCTTTTTAAATTGTCCTTTGATCTGTGAATGCCAGAGGCTAAAGGAGTGTTTAGCAGGGGATGCAGTGTTTTTTTTTAATCCTATGTTTTAAACCTGTTTTATTTATTTCAACTAGTGACATTTTAACATACTTCAGAGTTCAGTGACATTTTTAACATCCTTCAGGCTTACTTGTATTTTAATATTAATGTCTTACTTTATTGTGATTTTAAGATATGTATTTTTTTCAGCAGTTGTGCAGAAGTTTGAGTCCCTGCACTGGAAGAAACGTAGGAAAATGCAGGATATAAAAGCAAAAGCAAAGTGTGCCGCTTATATATCATACATAATGCTTAAAGCACTCCCTGGGCAATTTCCAATTTAATTATGCAGGCTACACATTGCCCCCCTCCCACATCAGTGAGCTGACTGCTCAATTTGTCAGCCTCGGAAGGATGGAAGGCTGAGTGAACCTTGAGCCAGCTACCTGGGACAGAACTCTGGCTTGTGAGCAGAGTTTTGGCTGCAGTACAGCAGTTTGACCACTGTGCCAAGATGCTCAAGTTATAAATAAACTAAGTCAATTAATAAATAAAAATAAATCTGGGTGGCATACTCAGGTTTTCATTCTAGCCACTGAAATACTAAGAAAATCACTTGAATAATGGTCACTGTGTATTATATCCTAGAAAATATGTTCTAAAACCTATTTATTTTACTTTTAATGAATCTGAAACTAGAACATGTGACGTAGCACAGAGTGCAGCAGACGCCTTCAAGCACAGAGAGAACCCAGCTGATACCAATTTATTCCAGGCCATGGAGAACAGACAAAACACAGCAACAGTTTTGATGCATTTGGTTTATTCAGAGTATCTAGGAAATTGTGTATTTCTTACCTGGGCATCAGCATGAGCTTTTGCAAAATCTTCACCTCCTTCATCACGGGCCCCCTGGGTTTAAACATTAAAAAAATATATGACTCAAGGTGCAGAAAGTGCCTGTACCACTACATAGCTGCCCCATGACATTCTGCTGCTTGAAGAAAAGGGGGAAAATGTCCCCAGTCCTTGCACTATCACATTCAGAAGCAAACTGGCCTGGCAACTGCACCACTGAACATGGCCAAAGCAACAACATAGTCTATTATCCCTGAAGACAGAGGGCTAGTTTAGGAGTGTAGGATAAGCACTAGAGATAGGAGTATGTATTCGTATACGAATATCCCCACACAGGAGATAAGCACTAGAGATGGGAGTATTCGTATACGAATATCCCCACACAGGTGGCAATAACGAGGGTCCAGCCCCATGGGGCCAGACGATCCACTCACTGATCTGCCGCGGATGCTGATGGCGTGATTCCACCAATGGCTCTGCAGAGTGCAATCTGCTCGCTACTCCTGGCAGGAGGTGGGAGGAGAAGCTTTACTGGAAGGTCAAAGAGTGGCAAGCGGATCGCGCACTGCAGAGTCATTGGTAGATTGCGCCATCCGTGGTGGATCAGTGAGTGGACCATCCGGCCTCATGGGGCTGGACCCTCGTTAACGCCACCTGTGCAGGGATATTCATATACAAATACAAATACTCCCATCTCTAATAAGCACACATAGATAATAGCTCTGTCCTCCACAGTTTTAGGACAGCCAAAGTTTTCCAGGGGAATGTTTTGAGTTGACTGCAACTGCTGTCCCCCCTGCACTTGCAAGTTGAGACACTTGCCTCATTCCGCCTAAAAGCAGGGCTGGCTCACTATAGTGAGAAACAAACAAAAACAACAACAGAGAAACACATAGACCAGAAAGACACACTGTGTCCATGCCCATGCAACTGTCATGTCAAAATAGTGCTTCTTCTGTTCTGTAACAAATGGAAGCCTGATGAAAAACAGGCTTAAAAAAACCTACGACATGTAACTGTATCTCCTTTACTACAAATAAAGGAGAGAGAGAGGATGGGAGATAGGACACATATCATCATGTGACAGCTGCACATTAGGAAGAGGACACAAAAAGCTTTTGTTCCTAATAAAAGGCTGCTAAGGAAGCCTGAAAGTGGAAAAAGTCTTACCAAAGCCAGAGAAATGAGGATCCTTTTGAAATGTCCTGAAGTATCTGAACTCAGCGCATCTTCCAAAGTAGTATGATAGGCTGAGAAACAAGGCAGAGAAGGAGGGAGAGGGAAATATATGTTGCACTGGGGATACTCAAAATATACATCAAAGTACTGGTTGCCACCCTGCATCCCAATGCTTCCTCTGTGCATTTTAGCTCTACTCCTCATGACTCCTTACATGCTTACAAAATACCATGTCTTAGGGAAAGACTGCACAAAAGAGCAGCCTAATGTTTCAACCAAGAGTGTTCTTGAAGACCTATAGTTTTATTATGGCATACATATCAGTAACTCTTTCTCTTTAGAAAGTAATATACTAGCATTGCATTAAGAGAGAGAGAGAGAGAGAGCAAAGAGAGAGTACTGGCTAATACAGAATGTTTTTCATAAGTGGAGGTGTTCTCAAGCGTCTGTTCTGGAGCTAATGGGATAAAAGATGTAGGCTTTGAGCACTGCTGTTAACAGTATAGGAATGGGTGCTGTACCAGAATATACACATCCTATTATTATTGTGATGTCATTATTCAACACCGCATATTATAGAGCATATATCCCATCTACAGTACTCTCACAATGAGCACCTAGAGAGCAAAACTGTTTCACGGATACACGTTTTTACCACTTTATGTCAATTCCAAGTTAAAGAAGTCTAGATAGGTTTCTAAGAGAAAAATCATTCTTAACCTTTTGGTTAAGAAAACTCCAACTGCAGAAGCCACTCTAGCACTCTAATAAGGTGCTGGCTGTGTTTGAGCGCCATGCATGCGTCAATACTGAAGATAGTACTGGTATTCATGTTTCTAGGATACAACGGACAAGCAGTCTTCTGACTTTGCAGTGCTCCTGTGTCCACATCTCAAGAGCATTTTACCTTCTTTGTATGCTTCATTAATTGCCTGGATTTCCTGGTTGGTCCGAGTGGCCAGGATTTCAATGAGAACACTTTCATCAGTTCCAGCGCCCTGAAATGACAATGGATGGTTATGTTTCTATATGGATATATTCCCAGATCACAGGCATCATGCCATTAATAAATACTAGAGCATGTTGACCTCCAGGCACACCTCTTCAACTCTCCCAATAGGCATTTAGGAACAAAGTATACCTCCATGGCTTTCTTCAACTGCTTTGCATCATACTGTGCTGGGGTCATCATCAGTCCAAGGATAACCTTCGCCAAAGGCCCCGATATTTCAGATTTCAGGTCTGCTATCAGATTCTATTATGGGAGACATTCATGAAGAAAGATGACAACTCTGAAACCCGTCAGGCTGGCGGTTGCTGAACTAGATGAAACACCAGGCCCTGCCCCATATAAAACAGATTCCTATATTCTTAAACAACAGCTGTTAGAGATGCTAAACTTATACCCTCTCTGGCTTCCTGCCCCTTCCAGAGCAAGAAAGAATAATGCAGGGGAAGAAGCAAGGATGAGCCTTTCCCCTTGGATTATCTCCCTCTTAAATGTATGTTCTGGATAAATACTGTAATTAAATGTAATGTATAGTACTGTATAGTATTGGAGGGAGGGAGGGAGGAAGAGAGAGAGACAGAGAGACAGACAGACAGATAGGTAAACAACTGTCCCCCAAAAGGAAAAAAACAAACAAACCAGAACATCTAAACACATTTCTTTCCATTATAAATGACATTTGAGGAGAAAGTAGTAAGTTCTCCCTTTCTCACTCAGTCATATTGCCATGATCCTATTTGTATCCCCCCGCCCAACCCTGCACAACTGTTCTGTTTTTCACTAACACACAAACGCATGGAAGGGCAGGTCACTGAGCTCAAGTCAAGGAAACAGTGGCATGTGAAACAAGAAGTCAATGTGCATGTGTATGCGCATGCATGCGGGGGGATACATGGGAACAGTTGCATGCAGAAACAATGTGAATTACCCGTCCATAATGAGACTTGTATGCCTGGATGATTTCTTGCCTCTGGTTATTACTCCGCTGTGTGACAACCTCAATGATGGCATCTTCATCAGTTCCTGAAACCCCAACATAAAGAAACTATGACTCACTCTGTTTGAGACAACTCATGCCACCTGGCTCTAATCAGAATATTTGGCTTGGACTCCCACACTTTCTTGGGGAGCAACACAATGACACAGTCCCAGTGGGAAGAAAGCTGTTCACATAGATTCAAATTGGCTTTGAGTTGATCATTCACACATCAACAGTTATCCAACTGATCTCAGCTGAGGAGAAGGTAGAGAAAGAGAGCAAAGCTCCTTTGGAGAAGTTACCCTTTTCTTTAAGAAGGTTTGGGGTGACTTGAGGCCTGATTAGTGAATTCCCTCAGAAAATGGAATGACGGATATATAAATGAAGAGTTTGCTTAGCTTAGCCTAGTCTCTCTCAAGAGAATGATATGTTCACCTGCTGCCTTGCTACCTAATTTGTACTCTGCACATGTTCTGAAATCATGCTTACGTTCTACTTGAATGTGAATATTAGGGTTAGTTAGCTTTCTTATTTTTTGTGGGAACTGTCTAAAATTGTCTTTGTCATTCAAGATCTTTTGAATGTTTACTTGCCCCACACTTTTTAAAACTGATTTTAGAATTTTTGAAACTATTTTTTGAAACTGTTTGGAACTTTATCCTTTCTGTCTTCTTTTTGCAATACTTTCAATAAAATACTAAAAGTTTACAACAGTTGAGAGCTTATTTATGGATGCAGCTTTCCAATGCTCTCTCTCCTCTTTCCTTCCCTTCTATCTACTGACTCACTTTCATTCAAAGGCAGGTAATGTACCAGGAATCCTGGTGATGGAACATCTTTACGACAGCTCTTTGTATTGCATAAACACTGTCCTTTTTCTCTAGCAAATGTAGCTTGCAAATGTATGTGCTCAATTTCCCTTGATGAGGCAAAGCTCAATGTTCAATTCCTCTTACATCAGTTTCACTTAAAACAAAAGTACACCACACATTCAAACAACAGTACTTATCACCAGTTAATATCTGACTTTTCTGTTTATTCTCTCCTTATGTATTTTCTATTCTATCGTTGTATTGTGTTTATTACAGTATGATTTATATAATTTTTTGTATTTTTAAAAATTATTTCACTGTTTTTACTATATTGGAAGCCGCCTAGAGTGCTTTTAGACCAGATGGGCGGAGTATAAATAAATAAATAAATAAATAAATAAATAAATAAATAAATAAATAAATAAATAAATCACTGGACATCAAGACTACATGTAGCATCCAGCCTCTTCCGTCTTTCTCCATCTCTCCAAAGTTGGCCCTCAAACCACAGTGGAAATAGCCAACAGAGTAGCACCATCTACTGGACATCAGAGGAAACACTAGGTGTAGAAATTTATACGAATACCCCTGAACAGGGACGTGGTGGCGCTGCGTGCTAAACCGCAAAAGCCTGTGCTGCAGGGTCAGAAGACCAAGCAGTCGTAAGATCAAATCCACGCGACGGAGTGAGCGCCCGTCGCTTGTCCCAGCTCCCGCCAACCTAGCGGTTCGAAAGCATGCAAATGCAAGTAGATAAATAGGGACCACCTAGAAAGGTGGTAAAAATGACAGGAGGAGACGTGGGAATGCATATGGATTACAAAAGAATGACAATAGCATCCAGATCCTCTGTATAATTCTGAGACAGGGCAACTGCAAAATTAAAAAAAAAACACAAAATGCTTGGAAGCACTCTAGGTCTTCCCTTTTCTGAATCTAGTAAACATTTCTAAGGCATACTAATTTGCATTGTTTAAGCAACCTAGTCTAGTAACTCCCTTCTTGGAAATTTTTAAAATATTCTGGCAACTATATTAATAACAATCTTGCAATGAGCATGCTGACACAACAGCCTTAGCATTTTCTATAATTGTATGTCATCTATTACTTAAAACAGAGGAAGCGCAATCCTGAATATGCAGGCATTTGATAACAAATGCAAAAACACACACACAAATATTAATTTTCTACAGGATAACAAAGGATCGATTGCCAAATCCTGCTTGAATTACAACAACCGCCCCAAAAGTTTACATACCTAATCCTTTCATAGCTTTCCTTAGCACTTGTGCATCACCGTCAGCATTGAAATTCGAAGCTGGATGTATGGTTCCTTTCGGCTACAGAAATGGGAAAATAAGTTTTAATTGGAATGTTGCTTACTGTCACAGGGTGGTGGAAGAAGCGAGTGAGAGAGTGGTAGAGAGAAAGCCAGGTTAAAGGCAAAGCAGTTATCAAGGGCTGAGCAAGCTGGAAGGCTTCCAGAGGTGCTGTGGTGACTTTTGAAGTGGAGGCACTCGCTATGATAGTTCCCACAGGCAGGACACATGGGGAGTCCTCATAGCACGTTGTTCTGCTCCATATTAACAAACCAGTTTTAACAATCTTTCAATGCCGACAGGAGTCTTTTGTCAAGTTAACAGGTCTCCTCAATACTAAGCCACCTCAAAATATTTGGCACTGCAGCAAGAAAAGCTCACAACAATACACTGTTGTTGTGAAAATCTTATTCTCCCCAGCTACTGTAAGCATTGCAGTTAAGCTCAGAGAGAAGAAAGGAGCTAGAACAGGCTGGCAGTTGATATTGTGGTCCTTGCTAGTCAAAACCTCCTGTCTCTGCCTCCACTGCACCACTGGAAGTTACAACTGTCTTGATTACAAAACAAAACAAAAGGAACATCAGGCAAGCCAGAGAAAATGTCAAAATAATTTCAAAGAAGTCCCCCTGCAAAGGTACCAGTGCATTTAAAAGAAATGTGAATAGAAACAAATAAAGAGAATCTAGATGGATATCATGCCAGGGATCTCCCAAAGTTAGGAAAGGAAAAGCTGTTCATGTCTTTCAACGGTATTTCAGGAAACCAAAACATCTTCTGGAAACCCCCCCCCCTTTTTTTTTAAAATTCAGTCTGGTAGCTAACATCTCCATGAGTCAATGAAAAGGTTCTTTTGACGCAGGATCTCCAACAGCCTCACATGACGACCAAGAAATAGGGTGAGTTCACAGACTGTCTTCCAGTGATGACAGCTATCATAACATCTTATCCCTTCCCAGTTTGGTTCCTATTCTCAGGCACTTATTTAATGTGTTAAGAAGATAAACTGTGATAATAGCAGGTGGGCATAGAACTTTTAGATTTCTTGGACTTCAATCTGCAGAATTTCCCAGGAATTCTCTCAGACAGGATTCGGAGGTTTTTAGCCAAGGTTAGGCTAAATGTATTCACGAAGGCTTTCACGGCCGGGATCTAATGGTGGTTGTGGGTTTTTCGGGCTCTTTGGCCGTGTTCTGAAGGTTGTTCTTCCTAACGTTTCGCCAGTCTCTGTGGCCGGCATCTTCAGAGGACAGCACTCGCCACAGAGACTGGCAAAATGTTAGGAAGAACAACCTTCAGAACACGGCCAAAGAGCCCGAAAAACCCACAACAACCATTAGGCTAAATGGTTATCTATCTAGAAAGCCCAAAACAGCCTGGCTCCAAGCTACCTCAGGGGCCACTTCTCCCTTTATAGGGAGCTTTTCAGATCATCAGGAGAAGTCTTTCTCTTGATCTCACCACTTTCACAGGTATGTTTTTTTTTTCAGGGGAGGAGGGTAGAGACAGAGGAAGACAGGCTTCTCTGTTGCTGCTCCCAGACTCTGGAACTCCCTCCCACAGGAGGCCAGGCTGGCCCCATCATTGCTGCCCTTCCACAGGCAGGGAAAGACCTTTCTCTTCGGGCAAGCTTCCTCTTAGTGACTGGTTGCCTGGGGGGGGGTGTTAAATGGATGGTTCTGCTTTACTGCTTTGAATGTGGTTTTTGGTACTGCTTTTGTTTACCGTCTTTTAGAGTATTATTTATTTGACCCTTTTGTAGTGTTTGTATCCTTACTGATTTGGGGGTTAATGTTGTCTTTTAATGTTAAGGTGCCTTGGTTCCTTCGTAAGGAGAAAGGCAGGTTATATATATATAGGCTCTTTATAGGGTGCCTCTAAAAATAAATATCTACCAGTCCTCTAATCCCCTGTGGCTCCCACAGAGCTTATCCACTCCCACTCATTTCATCATTCTTTCTCACTGAAACATAATGGCTGATTGTGCCCTGCTGTGAATAAATGCAAACTCCCCTGAGTACTGATTTCTTGGCTAAAGCCATCGGAATTCTGGCAAAGGAATTCCTAGTGAATTCTGAGGGCTGAAGTCCATGAAATATGGAAGTTCCATGCCTAGCAGCAGGTTTACTTGTCATCCAGTAATGGCGGTAGTTGCCACACAATCACCCTTTCACAGTGATTAGTAGATGCTCAATTTCCTGAACATTTTGAAGAATGGTCTCCAAATGTTTACTTACAAACAAATCTTATAAACTGCAATCTGCCTTTATTATATTTTGTAAAATATAGTTGTATATTCAACTTCAGCTTCAATGTATTTTATGATTGATTCTAACTGCTGTTGGCTGCCCTAAGCAGCATTAGGGCATAAACATTAGGGCTACACCCTATTCATAGTCCCAACAAGAACAGACATCATTAAACGAATGGGATCTTCATATATCTAGATACATAATTCAGCAAACGGTTCATGGACTTATTCTTGATGGGGTTACAAAATGGATTTGGTTCTAGAAAGGCAAAATATATATTTTTATGTTAAATGAATATAATAAAAATGTATGGATTTCTTTCTTGGGTCCAAAGAGCACTAAATCAAAGCAGGGCCCATAGGACACGCCTCTAGTTATGCTCCACCATTGCACGAGGGCTCACGAGGCTGCAGTAGCCTTAAACAATGCATAAAAGTAGAGTTTTCCCCCACCACTAGATTGTTTATTCTTTCTTACCAGCAAGTTATTCCATGCTAAAGTGTGCAAGCATTTTAAAAGGGTTAGTTCATAAGCCCTCAGAAGCAAGAGAAGGAAAAAAAGTTCTATAAGAAGTTGTATTTGTTAAGAAGGCATTTTGAAAAGGTTTGGTCAGAGCAGTGGCAGCCCACTGGACAGAAAGGGTAGCCACGGGGCCTTGCAGGAAAGGGTCAGCAGCACACAGGGTGAAGCAGCTGTGGGTTCAAGCCAGCAAGGCACATATGGGGAAGGGTTAGGGTTGGGTTCTGACCTCTACTTTAGCCACTGCACTAAGTTCCCACATCTGATAGGCCACCTGCGCAGCTTCAGGGAAGAACTCACCTGCGGCACTGAAATCGGAGAGGGGAATAGGAGGACACAAGGTTGTGTGAACATTGCAAAGACAAGAAAGCATGGGTCCAAACCTGCTGGCTCCACTGTATCCCCTCCCCTCCCAACTCCAATCCTACCAAATTCAACAGCAATATCACATGCTCTCTTCTGACATTACAAACCTAATAGCATTTGGAGGAGGCATAGATGGGCACTGAAGCTTCTTTGCTACACTCAGGACTTCCACGTGTTCTGAAGGAAGGCCCACAAGGGACTATAATTGTGTCCCACTGAAAAAGGTTTTGGACCTTCATGCAAAAGGGAAGCACACTGCATCAGACATTTCCAAAATACAAGAGGGTGACACTAGCATTGCCATTTCCCTCCATGCTGAAAGCTTCCAGGCATTTTATCACCTGAAAGTGACCAGTAAATAACCACAGAAATGTTAAAATTAATATTTTTACTGGCCAGCAATTTTTTTCAAGCCTCCTGTCCACCCGCAAAGGGAATGTTCTCTCCCAACCCATGGCGTTTCTACCTTGGTCCTGGAAGCAGAAAGACTCCTCGTTTTCTATGGTGACTCTAAAGAAGGGGCACGACATTTCACAAGAGCTTCTCCCACCCATGCAAACTGTGGATTTTGGGGCCTCAGTGTGGAATGGAACTACAGAACAAGGGGAAAATTGGTAATGCCCCCTCCCAAGCTAGAGTCCTTGTTTAGATCATAGGTCTCTCTCTCCACCTCAACCTCAATTTGTGTTCCCAAAGAAAAAAGCTGCAACATAGCTGATCCCAGTATTCTGAAAAAGTATTGATGTGCTACAGATATATTTTCTAGTAGCGTATCTCTTTTTTGTCACATTCTTTGTGATCCACAATCAGAACATTAGCGAGATTTCAGAGGGTTCCCATTCCCTTTGTGTGGCAAAAAGCAAAGCTTGCAAAAGTCACTTCTTGAACCACAGCTTCAAGAATCCTCATTCCCCTTCAACCTCCCAAAAAAAGAGGCATTGTGCAATTTTTACAGTATTTCAACCAGAAGAAGGGCTTACTCATCATCTCCTCCACATAGTTTCAGAAGAGCTTTTTTGTATTCACCAGATGTGTCACTCTGCAAGGAAAAGACAAAAGATCTGAAATGCACACCGTCAAATAATCAGCTGCTGCAGACAAGCTCACCAAGATTAAACACTCATTATCTCCCAATTTAGGGGGTCTAACTTGTCTGGCATATTTCCTATCCCCCAAGGCAAAGCAAGAGAGCCAAACCTGCATCTTAGGCCAGCAGGTTATAGAGTCATTTTATCTTCTCTATTCAAGAATTTTTACCTGAAATCATGGAAACCTCTAACTGGAGGGTGTACATAAAAGCCTTGTCCTCTCCCCTCACCGCCCATTCCACCTGGACGTTACTCAGGTCTTTATACATTTAACATGAAGATTGAGCAGCCAGTAAACATAGTCTTTACACTGTAAACCGTCACACTGAGCATGCGGAAATGTGAGTGACTTCTGGGTGGGGTCAGAATATGGCATGCATTTCTCCCTTCACCCCCACCAGAGTGTTTTCAGAATCCAAAATTTCCAAATGCATTGCTTACTAATGGGGGGGGGGGGCGGCGGGAGAGAAACAGTTTTGTCTTTTTAGAAAGATAGCTCAACTCAAGCTGCTCCCAGAAGTTACATAATTCTGATGCTCTCTATCAAGGATAAGACTGAAATCATGGAAACCTCTAACTGGAGGGTGAACATAAAAGCCTTGTCCTCTCCCCTCACCGCCCATTCCACCTGGACGTTACTCAGGTCTTTATACATTTAACGTGAAGATTGAGCAGCCAGTAAACATAGTCTTTACACTGTAAACCGTCACACTGAGCATGCGGAAATGTGAGTGACTTCTGGGTGGGGTCAGAATATGGCATGCATTTCTCCCTTCACCCCCACCAGAGTGTTTTCAGAATCCAAAATTTCCAAATGCATTGCTTACTAATGGGGGGGGGGCGGCGACGGGAGAGAAACAGTTTTGTCATTTTAGAAAGATAGCTCAACTCAAGCTGTTCCCAGAAGTTACTTAATTCTGATGCTCTCTATCAAGGATAAGACAAGTTGCAGGAGAAACATAAGGGATGTGTCATGAAAAAGAAGAGGACATAGCAGAAGTCTTCCTCGATTTCTTTGTCACAACCCACTTACAGGGCAGTCATTCAATAGTTACCTCAATCATGTGGTGCAGAGACTTCTCATATTTAGTTCTAAATATTTCTCGGATGTCCAGCATGTCAATCTCACTCCGAGATACCATGATCCGAATCAATGTGTTGTCCTTCGTCCCGAAACCCTGCAGCAGATCAACTTAGTTCATTAAGATACCTAACAAAGATCAGAGTGTACCTGAATATATCACATGAAAGCACCACAAGCAAGAGAATGTGACCACCAGCTCGTTTATTCTTTAGCCAGTGGGGTAACATTTGCCCCATCACATATGAAGTAATTGGAAATCTTTGCTATGCAACATCACTTTTTTGTGTGTGTGTGTGTGTGTGTGTGTGTGTGTGTGTGTGTGTGTGTGTGTGTGTGTGAGAGAGCCAAGAATGTGACCACCAGCTCGTTTATTCTTTAGCCAGTGGGGTAACGTTTGCCCCATTACATATGAAGTAATTGGAAATCCTTGCTATGCAACATCGCTTGTGTGTGTGTGTGTGTGTGTGTGTGTGTGTGTGTGTGTGTGTGTGTGAGAGAGAGAGAGAGAGAGAGAGAGAGAGAGAGAGAGAGTGTGTGTGTGTGTGAGAGGAGAGAGATCTCAAAGCCATAGAGACAACAGAGACACAGAGAAAAAACAATACCTCAACTGTGCTAGACTTGTCTAAGAGAGAGATCTCAAATTTCAGAAAGCCATAAAGACAACAGAGACACAGAGAAATAACAATACCTCAACTGTGCTAGACTTGTCTCACTGCTAATTAAGACTAAGAACTTTTGTTTTCTACTATGTGAAAATTTAGGATACATCACAACAGGATCTTGCTTTGAGATAACTGCTCATAAAATGTATTCCTACTGAAGAAAGAAACTTTTAAACATGTCTGTCAGTAACATTGTTTTCCATTGTTTTCATGTCACGGCAACCATTTTAATATTCATTTAACTTTTGTTTATTGCCAAATTGTGCTAGATATGTTTCAATGATACTTTATTGCTCTTATTTATTATATATCCCTCTCAATACAGTTTGTTAAAATGGCTGGTATAAATAACACAGTATTTGAAACTGGCTGTGAATGTATGGTTACACACACACACACACATTAAAATTTGTGTACATATTTTCATTTGCTGCCTTAAAAGGTTCAACTTCACATTCTAGTGAATATACAATTTTACTTTTTAACAACATGGAACACTCACCGGCCGAAATCTATGCTGCATGATGAGTACACTTAATGAATCATAGGAACTTATGGATAAGTTTACTGACTAAATCCTTATATATTCCATGGGTCTACTCTAGTTGTAACTTACCAGTGGAATCCAGTCACTATTTCAGTATTTGTATCATTCAGGTTAAAAAGACACATCCACACAGAATGAACCTGTATACAGTGAAAGGCAGAATCTGCTCCCAAATGCACCTTTACAAATAGCCCTACTGTCCAAACAAAATCTGCTCCAGGGCCTGCTTTAAAAGGAATCACTGGCTCACATTAATAAATAATAAACAAACATTTAGAACATGCTTATTATTGTTTCCCCTATTGGGGTTTTCTTTTCTTTTCTTTTTTCCTTTATTTTTTACTCCAAAAAGAAAGATTTCTTCCTTTTTGGATACAAAAAGGTATGATTTTAAATCTCATGTGATACAAATGCAGATTAGTCTTCATACATTTCTTCTCGTAAGCTACCTATTAATAAAGCAGTCACTGTTTACGTAAATTACTGAAGCAGTCAAGTTCCTATTCTCTGAAACTGAAGAGGCCATGATTGTCAAGCCGTCTAATTCTTTAACCCAAGAGGTCACACTGTGGGCATTCATCTGACTCTCAGTGGACCAGGTATCTAGAAATGTTGTCTCTTTACACTGGAGCCATTTGCCTTACTATTGCTCAAATATGTTTAAATAAAGATGGAGAAAGTGCCAAAGGAGGCTTGCTACCCACAGAAAAGCAAAGTAACTCTGCATTTAACTCCTCCCTTTACCACCTCCATCAGTTAAAGTAAGTGGACTAATTAAAGGCAGGTAGTGTTGAACATCATGCCTAGTTCTGTATTCAGAACATACAGGTGTTGTGTGCAACATCACATGTGGACTTTCAATGTGCAGTGCAAAATCTGGCGTGCCTTTGGAATGGTACTCACTTTCATAGCTTTGAAGAGTCTATCAGCAAAATATTCTGCAGAACTCCTGATGTTCTTCACTGTGGAGAGAATTGAGGGAGAGTGAACCTTTGGGTCATGCTTCCTGTGTTCAACCAGTGGTATTTAATCACTTGCTTAGACCTGGAGTCCTTAAAAATTCATGGCCCGGAGGCAATAAATGCTTCTTATCCAAGGAATAAAAGCAAATCTCACAGCAAAATGTTGTAGTGCAGTACGTTCCCATTCAGCATTCAGCCCATTGGACATATCTTCCAGAATGCTCCATTGCACTGCCTCTTTCTCCATTTTACACATTTTGTTCCAGATACAGCAGCCAATGGTCTACTGAGCTTCCATGGAGTGGACAGTCCTACCAGCAAAGTAACTCACAACCCCCTTCCTTGTATGTTGCTTTTGCACAAGCAAAGATTTAAAAAACAACCCAGAGATCACTGCTCTTGTAATAGCAATACTCACACAAGTGATGCAATCCCCTTCAATTATCAAAATGACAGAAAACTCTGTTCACAGCAGGTCATGATGTTCTCTGACCATTAAGCATGCTCTGTTTGATTTGTTTAAATTTAATATTGTAGTAAAAATGCAAAGTCATGCCTGTAACGTCAAGTCAATGGATAACTGATAACATACAGACGGGGCAAGCTTAGGTAATGCTTGTCAACCACATTCAGCTATGTTTGCTGTGACAGGCTGCTCTCACTATTTAAGCAAGGGAGTGAGAACAGCACTTTGCCACTCACTTGTGAGTCTGGTGGTCATTACTTTACTTGAATGTGAATGCTATGTTGCTCTGAGATATCTATGTCAGTGTATATATTTCCATGTATATATGTCTGACCAAATCTAATATATTATGCTATAAGTATTATTATATTATTAGAACTCTCTCTGTGAATTTTCTCATACATCCACGTCTTTGCTTATTAAGGGGAGGATTTGAAGCTACCAGATAAGAGACTCTGTGTAACTTGTTATCTTGGGTTCCAACGTTTGTTTTCCCTAACAGAATGCTCTTGGAAGCTTCACTATCCAAATCTGAGTCCAAGCTTTGTGAGAGGCAAACGCCACATCAAGCATTTGGAGTTGGCCCCACACCAACATGCTCAGTCCCAAGTGGGTACCCCTTTATGTTCCCTTTTCTGAAGTTTCTTTGTACTTCTGCAAATCCTAAAGCCCCTCAGCCTTGGTGTCCACATCTTTTATATACATATAGTGCAATGTTGGCTAGAAAAATACTGACAACAAAAGAAAAAAATGTACTGTTAGGATGTACGAAACCTCCTCTCTCTCTCTTTCTCTCTCTCTTACTCCCTCAAAAAGAAAAAGAGAAAAAAAAGGAAACCCAAATGTTTTATGTAGTCGTATGTTTTAAACCAACCCGTATCTTCCTAATTTACAAAGGACGCCACCACATGCAAGATAACTTTCATGCTCCTAATTTGCCATGGTGCATCTTTGTTGTACACGAAGAAGAGACTTTCAACCTAAGATGCAACAAGCAATGAGAAACTAGTCTGAAGTGGGGGGACACAGAGGCTCCACAGAGGCATTTCATGCTGAAACATTGAGCTGCACAGCTCTGCTTGTAGGACCTTGATTTGAAGTCCTGCATTAAATCTTAATTTTGAAAGTTGCACGTCTCACCAATAACTTAATTTCAACATTATAAAGAACTCTTTCTCTAATATATGTTCTAAACACCTCTCAACATTGTATGTATTTATTTTTAAAGGAAATCTAGACTCTACCTACATACATTTTGATAGCATTATAGTTACAGTTACATTAAATCTGATAATTAATGTAATTGTATAAAAAGTTTTGGCTGCACACTAAGTTTCTATAAAAATCCAGTTTATGCACTCATCCTATATATCTTTGTTCAACAATTGTACATAGTTCTGGGGCTAAATTCTTCACTTCATATGCCTGAGGCAGTGGATTGTAATCTATCAAAGCTCTGAAATAAACATTTTAGTCTTTAATGTGTGACCATTCTTTGCTTTTATTATGCATACTGAAACAGACTAACCCAGCAAGCTCTTTCAAAACTGTCACTTAAAAATACCTTTACCATTTAAAAACCAGAAACAAAACAGTTTAACAAATAACCTTGAAACACTGAGAAAAATAATATTAAATGTATGCCAGGATCTAGTCTGAATGATTCTACCTATTACAGTCACTTCCACCCTGTTTTTCCTTCTTCAAAATGCAAGTTGGGGCTAACCTACCTACAGCTAGCATGAGTTTTTCAAAATCCCCAGACAGCTCTGTCCGGATGGATACCTCAATGGGTCTGCCCGCAATCTTGAGATACTCATCGAAGACTGTAAAGAGAACACAAAAGAGAGACAGTAGCACACATAACCGACTCTGGTCCATTGCTGCATGCAAAGCACACATCATACTGTACCCCGACAGGGAATTGCTTCATTAGCATTCTGTAACTTCAGTGGAATACTTAATATTTCTACTGCAATACACTGTGTACAGAAACCCTTTTATAAACTGGACTAATTATCTTCAGTATGTTTTCAATCTGTGGATCTATTTTTGGCTACTTTTAGAAAACGGCCCTTTTTATGTGTCTAGCTCTGCATTAAGTGGCACACTGCTGTACAATGAAGCAAGGTACAAAATGTTTCAGTTGGAATAAAAAACATATTACTTTTTTTTCAGTGGAAAAGCACATATTTATGAGCAGAGCAATTCAGGCATGAGAAAGTACATACAATAACTTTTTTTTAGCAGTTTCATTTTTCGTCCCTACGTAAGCTGAAATCCTAAACAAAATGGTTAGGAGGTACGTTCCACTGAGTTTAAGGAGATTAACATCAGAATAAGCATACCAGTTTAATACTGCTGTTAAAATCCAAATAGTACAAGGAAAGTGCAAGTTTTGGGGCCTGATGTCTTAAAATATATAAAAGCATTCAAACAACAACAACAACCCCAATTTCCAAATGTATTTTTGTTTGACTATGACTTCTGAACCAAAATCAAGGAAAGCCAGCATGGCGTCGCAAAGTGGTAGACTAGGACACCTGGGTTCAAACGCTTGTTCAACCATGGAAACTCATTGAGGGTGGTGGCGGCAGTGATAATACCACTCTTTAAATAGCTCAATCTCTTTGAAATCCTCCTGGGTCACAATAAATTGGAAGTTACTTGATAACACATAATGAGCAAAACAAAAGTGCTTTACAGAGTACCATTTCCCATCAAATACCTCAGCTAAACTAAATGTGTTTATTGGGAAAATTATTCAGCCAAATAAATTCTACTCAACAGCGGATTCAATTTTTAAAAAACAGAAAACTCACTTTATTGCTGCCAAGTGACAATAATTGTCTACATAAACAGGCATTTCACTTCAGCCTTGGTTGTCTTGCTTTTCTATTGAACATTGGCAGGGAAAGGTCCCCAATCTCAGGAGCCCGTGTAGCATACAGTATTCATATCTTGCCCACAAGGTCTAGGCAGCTTGTTAATTCAGCCACCAGATGGCAAGATCAGGACTCTTCTTGTGCATCAAAACCACATCACAACTTCCTCGGTGAAGAAGGACATGTCTTGCTGAAAGGAAGCCCAATTTGGGGTTAGATAATCCTATAATCTCTTTGAATGCAACCTCAAACTCACCTAGTCGAAGATGTTGTTTGCTTCGGTTTCCAAGAATGAAAATAAATTCAGCTTCGTCGGTTCCCCATTTCAGCTCTCCAGCTTCCAAAAGGGCCTTTTGGAACACAAGCACACCAATAACATATTAAAAGCAAAAGCAAAGTGTGCTGCTTATATACCGCCCCATAGCGTTTCAAGCACTCTATGGGCGGTTAACAAGTTAACCGCCCCCAATGAGCTGGGTACTCATTTTACCAACCTCGGAAGAATAGAAGGCTGAGTCAACCTTGAGCTGGCTACCTAGAATTGAACCCCAGGTCGTGAGCACAGTTTTAGCTGCAGTACAGCAGTTTAACCACTGCGCCACAAAGCAATACAAAGAGGAAAGCACTAAGATCACCAGATCCCACAGAACACTTCTTCTTATAATTATGTAAGAATTTGTGTTAGAAAATTGATCCATGCAACTCGAGACATTAATAAGTTATCAAAATTGATATGTTTCATGTTTCTTAAACTGTTATCGCTATTTCATCCTTGGGTTTTCCTATAAAATAAGTTTCAATGGGACTTACTGAGAACTATTTGCTAATAGTTCAAAAATCAAGCCTGTTGTGTAATTCAGAAACATTCGTCAGGGGATCAAAATCTTATTTCTACTCATATAATCCAGCATGGTACGTTTCTGCTACCAGGCTTCAATACCTCAATTCTAAGGTTTACAAGAAACACCTCTCTAAAATTCAAATGCTTGGTGTTATTTAGCCTGACAATATAAGTTCATTTACGGGGACCTTAAAATTAGCAGTTTCAAATCAGGATTTCCTGAGATACCTACATCTTGATGAATATGAGCAGTAGTAAAACAGTGGAAAGTTTACAAAGCATTGCACACAGAAGCAGCATTGATTCAATAATTTAAACTAAATATTTATGCTCAAGCAGCCCAACTCCTTATACAATCAGGATTCATTACTTAAATCAAAAGACTAACCAGTTTAGCTATGATAAACCAAACCTCCCCACTGACTTTCCTAGAAATTCTCCTCCATCACTGTAAGCTGGTTTGAGAAGCTACTCTTAGAAATCTGGTATGTTTAATATTCATGTTTATTTTTATTTTCAAAGCAAGTCACTGCAGAAATTGTCCCTAACTGTATAAAACAAGTAATGCTTCTTTAGTAAATTCATTGATTTGTAACTTTAACATAACTTTCACAGGCCCCAGAATTTACCTTAACTATGTGGCAAGACTGCTTAGCAGAAATACAAAAGTATCAAGAAATTAGAGAAAGCTCAGATGAAAACCTGCAAGCATCACTTGGACATGGATCAAATGACAAGAGTATGTAGGTTTGAATTTGTTCCTACACAAAATCTAACTCATTCTTTGATTCCTCACCCATTGGCCAAAACTACTACAGTATGTCCCTCACACTCACCTGAGCATCTTGTTTCACTAAATCCTCACTCACAACATCATCATCTTCTCGGGTGCCCTGTAGAAACAACAGTGGATCAATTCAATTTGGAAAGCATCAGGGTGTAAAGGGATAAAAGATGAAGGGAAGCATAAAATAGGTGAAAGATGACCATGACTAAAATGCCTTTAAACTAAAAATAATATTGAAATATTTGTGAAATAAAAGTGGCCGTGCCTGCAGAAGAACAATAAGCATCTTCTTGAAATGTCCTGAAGTATCTGCAATGACATCTTCCTCTAGGTTTCTCTCATAGGCTGTGGAAACATGTAAAACATAAAAATGAAGTAACATTCATGAAACCTCAGAGCAGGACCAAATTCATTAGTACTGAAAGAAGAAAAGAAGAAAGGAGGAGGGCCTGGAGAAATGGGGATCATTGGTTTAAAAAGTGGAACACAGGACAAAGTGGAACTTCAATAAAGGGATGAATTTTGAACCGGGGAAGGCAGATTTCTATGAGCGGACTGATCAGTTGAAAGAGCCCAGCAAATATTCATTTATTGGGAGTGTAAATGTTTACATTTTTAACCACATCAGAAATGTTTTAAAGGGTGTTTTAGGTTTTAAAGCAGTGTTACAGGAAGAGACCACAGAAGGTAAGCAAGAGTACAGAATTCACTCCCAATGGCAAAGCGCTTTCAGTTGCAAGCTAATCTAAGTGACAGGTACTTGCCACCTGCCCAAACCAGTACAGTCGGGGATTATGGGATCTGCAGTTCATAATATCTGGAGGACACTAGGACACGAAAATGAAATTAGACTAACAATAATATTAAACCATGAATGAAATAAAAGCAATTTAAAGCATATCCATTACAAAAACACACACAAAAAGACCCACACAAACAAAAACACAGTAGTATAGCACAAGTCTTTCCAGTTACAAAAAGCCTGCTGGCAGAAAGTCATCTGGGAATACAGTCTCCCCAGGCAGGGAGTTCCCAAACTGGGGAGTGAGTACTGGCAAGGTCCTCTCTTGCAACCTATAATGGCACCAGGGCCGAGAAACCCTCACCCCATTAGCAAGATCTCAGAGCCTGAGCAGGCTTATATGAGAGAACATGGTCCTTTAAGCTAGAAAGCCAGCAGAGGACAGAAGAACAACTTTTTATATCCTACTGGTTCAGGAATCTGACATCCAGAAGTCAGGAAACAAAGCTGACAGGAAGAGCCAAGAAACAATGCTCCTGTTTTGTGTGTGTGTGTGTGTGTGTGTGTGTGTGTCTGTGTCTGTGTGACACCTTTACCTCTCTCCTGTTATGAATTAACAAATTAGTTTCTCAAGTAAATCTGCTAATTAATCATCATCATAATACAAACCATAATTAACACAACAACATGCTTTTAATAAAATTTGTGAAGGCAGAAAACCAGCAAGGGTGTGGAAGCTATCTGTTTAATGCATTAAGCCTAGGGTGTATGACTCTCTGTCTGCTATGTAGTCAGAAGCTGAGAGTGTCTGCTGTTCATTTCTGTGAAGCCAAGGCTGCTGACTTGGACAAGCTGATAAAAGCACAAAGGATGGTAGAAAAAGCTTTCAGGGCCAAGACTGTGGCAACTGAGTCCAACAAGAACAGTTTCTCTGGAGTCAAAGAAAATGAGGGTATTGGAAACAAAGGATGTCACACCAAAGACAGGAAAATAACTCCTTTGAAGAGATACATTATTTGGCAGAAAAACAGACATTTGCTTGCATTAAGGATTCAGTCATTAGGAAAAAAAAAGACAGCATACAGACTTCACAGTAGATTGCCTGCTCGGTGTAAAGACCGCAGACATACTCTATCATCATCAGAACCTAGGAGATGGGGCTTGGGCAATGTTAATGGTCATGGTGGCACCAATGAGGAGGCAAAGCATAGCTGTAAGGTTGTGGAAATGAATTTTAAGTTTTGACAAGCTGAAAGGCAGGAAGACCGCTCACTTGGATTTCTCTGAAATGCCATATGATCTAGGTATGGGGCCACAGTGTAAATACATGAGGAGCGGTACTTGTCAGGCATATACAGAAGGAGAGCTTCCAACTAAAATTAAAGCAAAGGAAAGAAAAACTTACGATAAAAATTGTGATATACCAGCTTTTGAACTTAACCCTGCAGGGGGAAAAATAGAAGCTGGCAAGAATTCAGTTTGTGCTGAATCATCTCTGATAGATGATGGTGAAAATGTTTCTGATTGTTAAATGGGGACAGGATTGAGACAGGCCACAATGAAGCGGTGGTTCCCAAGCCCCTCATAGTCTTGGACGACATCTCCCAGTGGCACTAGTCAGAATAGCCACTGGTCACAGTTTTGGGGAGTTGCATTCCAGAAACAGGGGACTCAAAGTCTGGGAGCTACTCGTACACAAAAACATGCTTGTTTGCTCAGCTACTGTGCTCCTCAGTGTGTGTGTGTGTGTGTGTATAGGATTGCATCTTTTAATGGCAGTTGGAATCCATTCAAGATCCAGAGAAGGGGCAAATCCCCTGCTCTCTATATTCACCATCTTTGTAGGCCTCCACCAGAGCATGGATCTGCTGATTGGTCCGAGATGCCAGGATTTCAATAAGGCACTTCTCATCAGTCCCAATGCCCTATGGATAAGGAAAATTAAGTCAGCTGTTGCAAATGTAACATGCCAAAATCTAAATGCCTCTCCCTGCAAATCCATGAGATGAGCCTAATATTCTACACTAGCCAAAATCTTGTTACCTAGCATAAAGCAAATCCTAGTTTTGGTCCATTTGTCCCTGGTAAACAAAGCATCACCACCCTGATTCTCGGGACACGTGTAGGCACCCTCAAGAATCCAAACAGAGAAGAATGGAACAAAAGTTACAATTTGACATTCGCTAAGCAACAGAATTTCAGCCATTGGATATTATATGTGAAGGGATTGGTGAAGGGAGTCTAATACTATCATGTATTGTTCTAAATAATGACAATCAGGTCCTTTACCTTCAATGCATCCTTGATTTCTTTGGCATCAAAGTACTCCAAAGGCCTCATCAAACCCACAATCAGCCGTTCAAATTTCCCAGTCAGTTCATACTTCAAATCTGCAATCAGGTCCTATTAAATGGTAGGAAAAATAGAGACATAAGAGGAAAAGTAGTATCATTTCCTGGATGCCTGGCTCACTCATAACAAAGACCCTGTGGTTTCATATTCTAATGACCCTGTGGTTTATTCGGCAGAACCCCAAGTTCAATGTTAGCATAAAAGCACAGTTCAATTTATTTTGCTGGATTTGCACATTAGCATCTTCCTAGAGAGGCAAGGAAATGCAAAATGTACACAGTAATTTCTCCTATCTACTGGAGAAAGAGAAGACAATCCTTCCCACAAGTTCAATTTCCTCCACAATCTGGAGCAGAAGCAGCACAAAGCAAGCAACTTCCCACAGTCTGAGTTCTCCACAGACCTGTGTATTTGTATATTGCATATGTGTTGGGCACTCGTGTGTTAACAAAACAGCAGGGCCACACTTCTGCCTCAACTCTTTCTTCCATGAGCAAGTACCTTGCACGTATGTAATGTGTGAATACGTCTTGTGATGTTCAGAAAACTCAGGAAAAGGGAGATGATATTTTCCATTATTGTGTTATCAGGATAGCTATCAGAGCAAATGAAATCATCACCACCTGGTACCCAGATCTGTAGATCTCCAACAGGAGCTTGTCTGCCAAGTTTGTCCTTCATGGTCTCTGCTGATGAAGACTATAATTGCTGCAATTACGGTTAGCATGTCCTCTAGTATAGTATGGAAATGGAGCAGAAGATTTATGTGCATGGTGCACAGGAAGGGTAAAATGAACAGCACACACTCTTTAACTGTCATTCTGTCTGTTTTTGTTATATGGGAGGAATTCAGGATAGGAAGGGATACAGAACTTGCCACCCATAGCTTAGCAAACAGACAAACGTTTAGATCTAGCACTTATTCTTCCTTCCATACTATCCACGTGCTTTCTTTGAACAGCATGACATATAGTCCATCTTGCCTGAAGAACCTGTCAACATTCCTCCTTTCCTAGAGAATGAGTAACTGGTTTTTACAGACAAAAGATGGACCAACAACCAACTGACAAACATAAAGCCCAGCCCTGCTAGGTCAGTTTGGCTTTACCCCTATGAATCACTGTGGTCTCTTTCTTTTTGGAAAATACCATATATGGCCGCACAGACAAGAGTCTACTATAAGAGAAGTGGATTTTACAGAACATTCAAAACAGAGGTAAAACCTCTCTCCCTTTTGCCAGGGAGTTATACCACATACAAGAAGTTCCTTTCTCTTAGATTTCACCTTAATTGGCACACTTTCTTAGATCTACAGCTAGAGTTTAATCGCCAGCTTTGCTACATACTGGGACTACATTTCCTTTGAAATGATAATAAAGATGTCAAAGATACCTGCCAATACCATTTTGAGACTGAGTTTATTGCATATCTCCATGATTTAAATCAGTTTGCCAGTTGTTCACATCTCCTTCCTTCTCCCCCCCCCTCATTTTTTTTACCATTTATGCTGCTTTGTGAACTGATCATTGATCCTAATAAAGGCATGGCTTTTGTGTATTTCCCCACCATAGATCAATATGGCTTCTCCTCCTCCTTTTTCTTCATTTTTTAAATTACAGCTGAGATTTAGTTTGCCCATGGCAATCATTTTGAGACAAAACAATGAAGACTCCTATTGCTTTCTCCCTCAGGCTTACCTTCCCATACAGGGCCTTGTAGGCATGGCAGATCTCAACTCTTTGTTTATTGCTTCTAGATGTTATGAGATCCAGGATGGCTTCCTTGTCGCTGCCTGCGGGAAGAAAAAAGGGACCAGTCATGGCTAAGTCACACAGCTCATTTTAGAATCTGCTTTCAAATTCTGGATTGATTCTCTCCCTCCCCCACTTTTCACTGGAATTCCCAGAGCAAGGGCCATCTGGAATAAACAGACCTTCATGAAACAATAAATTGCACAAAGTCAGAAATGTGTTAACATCACAACCAGTTTTATTTCAAGCTTACAGAAGACAATAAGTGCCAGACTTACCAAAGCCTTTCATAGCATTATACAGTGCCTCAGCATCTTGGTTGGCATTGAAGTCTGGGTAATCCTTCACTGAACCCCTGTATCTTCTAGCCTAGAAACAAAGAAAATGAGAGAGATTGGCAAGTTGTATAGCTCACGGAAACAATGAAGCCACGCAGAAGGATGTTGCCAGGGAGTTATACCATATACAAGAAGTTCCTTTCCCTTAGATTTCACCACAGTTCATACTTCACAGTCACCAGTTTTAAGTTTGTGGAGTGACTATGTCACTGTGATCTTTATATGCCAAAGTCTGATCAAGCCCAAGGCAAAGAGGCAGTCCCAAAACCAGCAAAATCAGGGAGCTGGGCAGGAGACAGATTGTATTTGTCTTCATGGTGGAAGGGATGGTCACTCTCGAATTGGCCTTCTCAGCCACACTAGACGCTGTTCCAAGACCTCTATTCAGAGCACATTACCATAGTCTCTCGAGACTGAAGGATGCCTAATCTAATCTCAATGCATTTCCAGTACGTGCCTATTACGAATATCTTCAGCCTTGTTTCACAAGTCATTCTGTACTATCTTCACTATTTTTGTTTTGTTCTGCTTTGCTTCTGGCTGCCATATATTCACTAGGTTTCAAGGTATCTTGGGAGATTCTGGCAACAGCTTGTGGGTATAGTTGCCAATTCAATTCTTCTTTGGTTCTCTCTGTCAGGTAACAAATTTTGGGGTGAGCACCATTAGAAGAAAGAAAAAGTTGAGTTCATTCCCAGATGGGACCAGGACTCACAGGCTTGATGAAAAGGTGTTTTTACAAGTGTTGTGCTTGTATAACTTTTGCACGCACCAGAAAGGCAAAAGCAAGGGGGAGGACTGGGGAGAAAGCCAGTGGATGGGTCCATCATGTTCTTTGGAGATCGGTTGGGAATAACATGCCGCCGTTGCAGTTGACCCTCTAATCAGAGCACGTTACCATAGTCTCATGGGAATAACATGCCGCCGTTGCAGCTCACCCTCAGCTTACCATAGTCTCTCAAGACTGAATGATGCCTAATCTAATGTAACAATCTGATCAAGCCAATGTTCTGGGCTTATGCCATGTCCCTCCCCAGCTTGAAACTCTGAATCACAAATTATAGTAGAGTTACATTCTGAAATATCTTTGCATTATTGTCCTTGTTCAGCAGCCTTTATTATTTTCTGCCTAGGAAAACGAGGCAGAAACTGTTGAGGTTACAACATACATAATTCTCTCACAGGAACTGGAAGGAAGAATGAAGCCACTCTCTCGGCTGATGTCAAGACTTCCATCCCACCCAACCCTTTCTTCTCTCTGATCAAATGGCAAGGCAGCACAACACAGACTGGGGAGAATGTTGGTCTTTTCCTTAGGAGGGTGGTGGAATGCTGCCTTCTATCATCAACCAGTTATGAATCATTTCTCAGTTGCTCACTTTGTGATGTGACCTGTCTTAGAAATCCTTCTAGATCATTGATCCCCAACCTTGGGCCTCCAGATGTTCTTGGACTTCCACTCTCAGAAATCCTGGCCAGCAGAGGTGGTGGTGAAGGCTTCTGGGAGTTGTAGTCCAAGAACATCTAGAGACTCAAGGTTGGGGACCACTGTTCTAGAAGATTATTGAAGACTCAGTATACATGACTACTTTATTCTCTATCTGAGCAGCTGCAGAATCATGTGGAAAAAACAAGTGTGAACCAAGCAACCCATTAAACAGGGGTAGGGAATGTGTGGCCTCCAAATACTTCCATGGTCAATGATGACTAAAACATCTGGACAACCCTAAGCTTTCCCTCCCAGACACAGAAGGATACACATGACAATGACGTCCATGACTAACCATTGTTGCTGTTTACAGAACAAAGTTTCAAAGAAAGGAACTGAGTATCAAAAAGCAGTCATAAGGTCACTACCAGGTGTGAAATGCCAAATTGATTCACTCAATCTGCAACTTGTGCCTACTAACCAAACACTATCTCCTTATTGTGGAGCCATATATAAATGTATATAAATTTGCCACGTCCTCACACTGTTATGCCTGAAGTGGACTACGTATGTCCATGAAAGCTCACACTGAAATATAACAGTTAGTCTTTAAGGTACCAGAACATTTTTGTTTTCTTCATTGTTATTTTCTTTCTGTTATTTTGTTTCTTGTCTGATATGGATGCAAAGATTAACACAGCTGCCTCCCTGAAAACTACTTCCATGACTGCACCTCCAACCACCACATTCTTGATTAACTGCCACCCTCCATGCTGGTCAATGCCATCCTTGCTTTCCTGCACAAGCAGATGTCTCGTGACATGTCACACAAGAAGCACTCTTTTGGACATGAAAACAGTGGTGCAAACTGGCCATAAGGAAGCACGGACAATGTTCTGAAGACAGCTTAAGGGATGGGACTGTCTCACAGGCACTTCTTAAAATATCACAAGTATACTTAAAGTAAATTGTACTTCCTTTCATCCCTTCCCCCACAACCATGAGTCATCCTGGCTTCTTGACAGATGGTCAGAGCTCCTGAAGTTATAAATAGAGAAACCGTTCTGCCTGGAATTCTTCTCCTCTGGTCCTACTACCCATTTGTTTCACAACAGCGGTCCCATGCCCATATACCTCCTCCTCTTGAAGTTACACACGAAGAGCAAAACCCATCCTCTGCTACACTGCCAGTTTCCCTCATCTTCTACCCCCATTCACAGATATTTTCGGAATCCTTTGCTTTGAGATTCAGGAGAATGAGAATGATGAGTCACTCTAAAACGATTTGTCTCTCACTCTCTGGAGAGGGATGGTAGAACATTTTCACATAACAAGATGTGGGAACCTGAGATATCATCTTCCCAGGATTTCCCGCAAATATAACCTATTGCTTTCCCCATGGGCATAAACTTGGCCAACTCCGAATGCATTTTGAGGACTGTATGAGGACTCGTATTCATGCAGAGATTATTGACCACAAAGAATTTCTTCTAGCAAACTCAGTGTGTCATGAAATATGTTCCTGAATGTATCTATAACTTGGAGAGTTCACACCCCGTACATCCATCCCAGAACACAAAATTCTTGTCTCCCTGATCCAAGTGCAATATGCAAGCCCATCAATCCCATTGATTCTGTCCCCTGCACTCGATTACTACAAAAAGTGGCAACCACTTGATGAATACCTGTATTATTCTATGGAATTTACTTCCACATAGAAATTATGACTTTTTTTTTACAATGTGCACCTTACAGTATAGGTACTACTGTTTACATGAGAAGCATTTCTTGCACAAAGTGAATTCTGTAGCAAAACACTGCATTTTAACAAATGCTAGTCTTATGCACCATGTCCTGCTCCACTAAATGAGCTTTTTCATCATTCAAGTGATGCTTGCCATCTCTATCAAGTAAAGTCAGCTGACAACATTTTGAGTACAGTACTGCTATGGAGAAACGAAGTGTCACATGAGCACTGCATGGAATGGTCAGTCTCTAGAATAAGAAAAGAACACACACTAAAAAGGTTCCTGAAGGTTCTGAGTGGGACAATTTTGTAACACATCATTAATAATGATGTAAGTATTCAACAATGTTTGTGATACATTCACATACAGCAGTGAACCTGGGACCTCTCAGTCTTGCTGATAATTAAACTGCAGGTAGGACAATTTTGAGGGGTGGGGCCTGAGACAAATAAACAACTACCTGTTACCCAAATATTCCTACTTAAATTAAAGATATGTGGCAATCAATGACCAGAGTCCTATCACTTATAATCACCAGTGTAAGTGCAACAGCTTAAATCACAGTGCCAAATTGCCACTAGTTAAGAAGTTGCTGCTTGTAATCCTTTCTCACACATCAAATTATGCAACCCATACAAGCAGCGACCCTTAAAATAGTGGCAATTTGGCAATTATGGCAGTATATGTATATGTAAGAAGCAGTATTTTGCCCAATGTGCAACATCATCATTTTGGTTATATTATAAACAGATTGTCCAGGAAAGCATCTGGAATCCATGGATCCTCACAAAACAGATGCTGTATGGCCTCATTTTCAAAACTTGCAGTTTCGACAATTTACCTTCCGTGCATTTTTAGGCATGGATAAAACTCTCCAAGGTGCAGCCATGCTGCTGCTTGTGGGGGCTAGGGAGCTTTTCTAAGACAAAAACAGAGCCTACAATTTAGACTGCAGAATGCCTTGCTATTTGTTCTTGTTTCTTTACATGGCCTATCACACCTGTATCCAGTCCTTAGGAACCAGCAGTCCAGTGTTGACAGATACCTCTTATTGTTTTGGCCACAAAACTGAGGCCTTTTGTTTTATTTTTCCATTTAGCATTCACTTATGTTTGTCTGCAGTCTAATCACAGTGAATGTTGAGAAAAGGGAATGAAGTTTGATAACATATTCAGAATACAATTCTATATTTGCAGCGAGCATGCTAACTCCCTCAAGTATCTGTTTTCAAGGGAAGTGGGAAGGAAAGTGAAAAAGATACTGCAACATATCTACTGTGAAGAAGAAAACTGGAAAAGAAGAGGTTATTTATCTTCTGGAGGCCATTCAGCCTTTTACATTCCATTCTAGAGAATTATAAATGTTTGCTTCTGCACATTTTTTCCTTCTTATCCACTATCCTCCTTATACACTAACAATGTAAACCCTTGCCTACTGTGTTCTTCCAAGTGAGAATGCAAAATTTCTAAAGGCATCTGGCCCACACACAGAATTCCGAGCTTGTAATTCTGGTTTTGTTTTTTTTTAAATTCAAATCGTGTTCAGTTCTGTGTTTGGGTCTGATGGTCACAGCTGAGAGAATCTCACATAAATTTGCAAACTTAATGAATATCTCAATGCAGGTATAACAATTAGTGTAATCTACAGTGATGACAGTATTGGCTTTGTATACAGATTTGAACACACAATTTCTTTTAAAAGCAGATAGTGCCATTAAGTATCCTGCGGTTCTTGTGCAAAACAAGTAATATCTTTACTGGAATGACAGAATCTAAAAAAATATGTTAGCTTTTGAGTCCTGCAAGACTCTTCATCAGGCTGGGAATTATAGACCTCTTTCAAATATTTGTCTGA